GGTCTTACTAGTAGGAAGACCTTGGTCATTAATCACACCTCCACAAAGAGGAACTGGATTGAATCTGTTATATCCTTAGATTTTATTGCTGTTGATGTTTCTAGAATTCTCCCCTCCTTTTCCCAAATTATAACATGTACAATATTCCAAAAGAAAAAAGGTAGAACCTCTTTCTAGTGAAACGCATAACATCTAAACCTGAGCAAATATAAAGAGGCAGGGAGTGCACATAATGCATAGTCAGATGTAAACAAAAAAATATTTAAATAAAACTAAAAATCAGAGAATGGCAATAATCACAGAAAAGTGTGAAGTATTAGAAGGATTTGCATTAGAGCAGGGAGTGGCTATTTTGAATGTCAAGTAATGAAAAATTAAATTGGGACAAAATTAAAGGAGTGAAATGAGAGAGATGAAACAAGATTTCAAGGTTAACTAGTAAGCATACTCTGCCATTTAGTGATAAGGCCAAAGACTATAAAAAAGGTTGCTTTTTGTTGTCCATTTTTGATGATACAAGGCATGTAAGAGACTCTCAATTAAGAAAGTTGAGAGGTAAGACTTGAATCATAGAGATATTAAGGCAGCCATTGTGCATTCCAGTATAAGAGTTACATTTATGGTCAGAAAATACTGCAGAAATACAGAGTTAAGCATAGTTTGTTTTTTTTTTTTTTTTTCACTTCTAGCCTGTTTATTTCACATCCAGTTTTATTTTAAAATATCTTATTCATGCACTGTGCTCTGCTTTTGTTTCCATTTGTTATTTTAAGTATTCTCATTCAACCATATCTTTTGAGAAATTCAAGGAAAAGCAGTTTGATTAAGGGCTAAAATAAACCCTGAAAAAGAATCAAATTACTTCAGAAAACACATTAGTTTACTTTACTTCAGAAAACATATTAGCTTGCTTTGCAGTACTTTTTTTTGCTTTAGAGGTGCCAAGAGAGGATTAATCTGTAATGTCTGTGATTTTCCTTTTATTTTAGTTTATATAATTAAAGAGTTCCCAGGACTGCTTTACATTTATTTTACTCATCAAAACATACTTCCCAAATGTTATGAAAACAAAGTTCAAAAATAATGCAGTCCAAATCAAACCCAGTCCATTTTCTCTTGGAACACAATTGATAAAAAAGTCATACCTCGTATCGCATTTTTAACTGAGTAAACACTGCACTGTCCCTTTGTCTAGAATTCTTAAGGGTGTTCACTTTACATTCTCATACTTCAGTGTTTGAATAACTCCTGGTGGTACATGTAGCAAGGTACGTATGATCAGGAATAATACAGTTATTTCACTACTAGTGGGAGGATTTCACCCTCTCTGCATTGAACTCAGAGGTCCCATTGGGTCACTCTGTGTGTGCTTGCATTATGACAGAAAGGCAGGAGTCAGATGGTTGGGAACCTGTATTTTGAACATTAACCTTTGATGGAAGTTAGGGAAAAAAGTTTGAGTGCAAAAATCTAAAGAGTATGGCTGTTTTTGTTGAGGTTGTGGACATTAAAAAATGGACTTGTCAATCTCAGCTCCTATTCATAAAATATTCTCTCTTCTCTTGCATCTTCTTTTCAAGTAAATATGAGTCTCAGCTGATCACATCATTGTCCTGTCGAATAAGAAAGACCAGAGAGTGCTCTTAAGAAAGTAGTTTCCATAGGGACTGAATATATTTCATCAAAAAAAGATGACACCTTCTAATGTTGAAATTCTGATCTGCTGTGCTTGTGCATGTTGTGCATCTTACTGTTTACTCTGTGCTACAGTGGACTTTCTCAGACTCACTGTAAACAGAAAACAGAACTTTCAAACCTTCTTTTTTTCTGTGAATTCTCAGTAGGAAACTAAAATGTTTACTGAGGAAAGCTGGGAAAGTGACTTGAAATATAGATTTGTAGCAGAAAAATTCAATAGCAGAACAAATTCAATTACTGAGCTGTTAAATGTGCTTTTAGTAGGTACACTTTTGCTGAGATTGTGAAGTAAGCTGCAGAATATGTCAGAAATACCCTTTCAAATAAGAATAGGATGTGCACAAAAAAGAAGATATAAAAGAGAGAGATATGATTGATAGATATCTGTGTCCAGCTCAGATAATAATGCTAAACCTTTTATTCAGACTGTCTGGTGACAAGATACTCTGATAAAAAGTCCAGGTTAAATTTTCAGTTAGCTTAACTGTTAGTGACCTAAAAAGGACTGGACTACAATAAAAGAACTTGAAGCTTTAACTAAACACAGTTTCTGCCATTAATAGTCAGCAATTAGGCATTTAGTGAATGTCACAAAAAGCATTTGGATCAAACACAGAGTATTTAATATGAAGAAAAAACAGTCTGTCCTGACATGTTAGGAAGTGACCTTCATCTATACAATTGTGTAAATCAGTCTTTTTTCTGGTGTTATCACTGTTGGCAGCAGGAGCTCCCAGCTCAGTGACAAGTTGAGAGTCACCATTTGGGAGTCACAGCTGTAAAAGGCACAGCACCTTCACTTTGCATCAGTATTGGTTTTTTTTCTACCTGTGGTAGATGCAGCAAAATGGTAGCAATATCAGGAATGAGTATGGCTGTTTAGGAGAATGGGAATTGCAAGTTTTGTTTTGCTTGTTGATCCCACTCAAATCCTGATTGTTGACTTTGGAAAGGTTAAAATAGCAGTGTAAGAAAGTTCCATTTCAACAATTGTTAGGAGAAGTTACATTAGATGTTAGCCACGCTCTTCTCAGCCTGCAGTCCAATAGGTTTTGTGCTTGAAACACTGAAATGTATCCATGTAAGATAATCTTAGGGAAAGACCTGCAAAGGGACACTTGAAAATGCTCTTCAGAGATACTCATTCTGTGGTGCAGCAGTGAGAAGCCTAACAGAGGACAATGCCCACATCTTCTTCTTAGGGATGTTGCATCCTCTTACCTTATGTTCCAGTAGCAGCACAGCTCTGCTTTTGACTGACTTCATCACAAACCTGATGTATTGGTGGTATCCTTAAGCTCTAGCTTCTGAAATCCTAACACCATCTGAGAACTACCAGATTTTCTTTTAAAAACAAGACCACAATTCTTACTGATTCTAAGATAACTCAAATGGCTAGCACAAGAGCCAGTAAGTTCCCAGTAAGCTTACCACAAGTAATTTTGCTTAAAGACACAAAGAGGGATGTAGTTAAACCCTACACTAATGTCAGAAGGTCTGCACTATGATTTTGAACATATCAACAGTACTGAGCATTACAGAAAGAGCAAAGGCCTGGCTTTGAATCCATGCTCTTTTGAGTGTATGATGCAGCCAGAAGCTGTGATGCTGTTCTTCAGGATGTTTTCCTTCCTAGGAAATGATAAGGAAAATGTTGGAAAATGTACCAAAGTCATTAGCAATGTTTTACCAAGAATGCCTGTTCACCTGGCTTTCCAAATTTCATCCAGTCCGGCAGATTCTGTGTTCCCAAGATACAGGAGGAAAGGCACAAAGTTTTTTTTCTGCATCCTCTTTGTGTAATCAGCAAAAAGTCAGACAAACATTTCTAGCCTCCTCCAGGAAGCATCCCTGATAAGTACAACATTTAGGCACTTAATGAGCAGCATTAATGCACACACTGAAGTTCAAGGGTATTTTTAAGTGCTGTGCTCTGTCTCTGAGTTGTAGAGTAGATGATTAAAGACAAATGACAAACATTTATGAAATTCTGGATTCATATACATAAACTATGTAATCTTCAGGCTTGGATTCACTTGGGGGAGGTTAATTAACCTCAATCCTATGTTGTTTTTCCTTGTCCAAAGCAATGTCCCATCTTGTCTCTTTTTCTTCAACCCAGCACACAAGAGACTACGAGCTAGAGCCAAACTGCAGCGTGACATCAGAACTGCACAGGGGTGAAGTCTCGTGCTCACACACCTGTGAACCATGTGGCCAGGGAAAGAAATATCTGTGCCGTGTCACATCAGGATTACCTCCACCTCTAACTAAACTCATGTGCATATAGCTGTAGATAATTAGCAGTAAGGAAATAAAGAATGTGGAGTAGGGATTCACCAGGGGTGGACAGGCAAGAAGTTGAAGATTCAGGGGTATTAGTACAGACTGGGGAAAAATATAAAAACTGTAGGAAACACTTTAAAAAGTGGATCTAAATTATGTCAAGTAGATGTGTGCCATTTCTTTCCTTATGCCTTCACATGCATTGCCAGTTTAGATAATAAATGGTTCAAGATGCCAAGCACATGTTTAGTTTGCTGATATTTTCAGTTCTGACTGTTTCAACATCAGAGAATCTCAGTTATTCTCAAGGAATATTCATTTCTAGTCCTCCATCATGGAAATAGGTTTGAAGGCTTGAACAGGGAAGTGATAAGCATTAGAAGAATATAGAAAGAACCTGAAACGTACTTTAATAATGCAATCCTATTTCATTATGAGGGTTTGAGGCAATTGAAAAAACCATATATAAGTGTTTCAGATTGGCAGCACTGGTTTCTGTAGCTTAACAGTTCTAAATATTTTTTTCATTATTTGGGGAAGATGCTTTGCAGACAAAGTAACTGGTAAGAAAGAAGTGCAGATAGAAGACTGAAATTTGCCCCACAGCCTGTCAATAGTTGACAAAATTGACATATCTTTTAATGAGTTATTCTGGCTAAATTTTCTAAAACTATGATTTTCATGGCTAAATTATAAAAGAAATAACATCACTTAAGTATCTCTGTTATTATATGAACTTGATTATAATTCCATAGTATTTGTTGATGTGTAGATGTGTATGTGTTCTGTTTAATACAGTATTTTGATTGCCTTTTCTAATTTCTCACTTTGAGACTCACCTTATTTTCTCTAGGTTTGGTGGGTTTTGGTTGCCAGCTTTCTCCTTTTTCAGAATCATAGCATTAGTTGCTTTTATTTCTTTATGTAAATGCTCCAGTCATTTAAAGTGTGGCTTCAAGCAGTCCTTTATGTCACTAAAAGAAATTAGCTAAATAGCACTGTTTAATTAATTTCAGGACCGCCTCTTTTTCGTCATGGAGTATGTAAATGGAGGAGACCTAATGTTTCAAATCCAACGCTCACGCAAATTTGACGAACCTCGATCCCGCTTTTATGCTGCAGAGGTCACATCAGCTCTCATGTTTCTTCACCAACATGGAGTCATCTACAGGTACTTTTTTTGATCAAAAATAAAGTATTCTTGGGGCTTCAGGATGGTTTTGGCTGAAATCCTCCATCTCTTAGCAACCAATTTTGGATTAGTTGTTTGTTCCAATTTGCTTACACAGAACTTTTTTTTGGCTGTTTATCATTGAGAATGTTAACATTTGAATAGCCTCTGCAGCAGTCGCCAGCTGTGTGTGCCAGTTTTGTGTTCTAGTCCAAATAAAGTGGGTTTGAAAAAGCTTGGCACAGTGCGACCCAGAGGTGACCTCTCTGCAGATCGGCGCAATCTCTGCACTTTCCTCCCTGTGCCATAGATTTCCTCTGGGTTTCTAACCCCCTGCCACTTCCTGAGTTTGTTTGTCTTAGTTGTCTCCAGTCCGATACGATCGGGATGGTCCTTTGCTGTGCTTTGCTTATGCCCCTTCCTCTGGACTGTTTGGGTGAAGGCTTACTCACCAGCAGGAAGTGGCCCTTTGGAGACAGTTCTGATTTGCTTTCAAGTGCCCTGCATCTATTTAAACCTCCCTCACTGGCCCCAGTCTCTAATCTTCAACAACCATGCACACACACACACAGAGAAAGTGCATATTGTTGTGCTGGGATGAAGAATGCATTTAGGGATAGGCTTTATTATTAAAACTGAGGATTCGCTTTGAAAAATTTCACCCTGATGTTAATGTGTTTATTAAATCCTTTATCTTGTCATTTCACACTTCCTCTCTGTTTTTATTTGTTTTTAGCAGCCTGTTATTACTTGAGATAAATTTGAGCTTTCAGAAGCAACACACTTAACAGGTTTTGTAATATAAATCTGTCTTGTCTAGTAAAAACTCTGAGTTCTTCAGATCTAACTGAGCTCCATTTTTTCCCTTGATATTCCTACCCTCTTTCAGGTTATCAGTTTTGATTTGACGTAGTCATCTCAGAGACAGGCAGACAGAGATTTCATGAGCCAAACCATTAATATAATGATATGGAACTTGTCACATTTGTATAAAGACAGGTCTTGAGAGTACTAGAAATTGAGAAGGAAGTATTAAGTTTTTAGTAACCTGGGTTGAGTGGTAAGTTCCATTAGAAGCAATTGGCTTTGCCACATACAAAGTGATTAATAGGCAAATTTCTCAAAGGCGTCTCCTTTCCAGAGACATAGCAAACAGCAGAACATCACAGCTTCTGAGGAAAGTAAATCTCTTTGAAAGTGCTCTTTTCATCAAAAATCTAGTTTTCTTTATAAAACTCTTTGCTAGCTGCAGCTCTTAATCTCCATCTTTTATTAACGCTGGTATGATGTTTGCATACTGGGTTGTACTTTTGGGCCTGACACTTCACATGGGTTTGCTTTCAAGTGCTGAAGATCCAACACATTTCTTACCTTTCCTGCCCATATCATATTTCCTATTCATTGCATTTATTTCCCAAGCTAGGTATTTGTACATTCACATAATAGAATGTGGCAACTTCAGAATTTATAAGTATCTGTCATAAGGGAAACAGACAAGCTTGGCACTTTGAAAAGTGAAGGATTTTGAGGATTTGTCTCCATTAAATACTTGAGCTAATTTGCTCCTTCTGGAAACTGGAGGTAGACACCTTGTAATTAGCAGTCATTTCAATGACTTCTGTGAGCCAGCAGGAAAGAATTAGTATAAGATTACCTCTCCCTGCTTTATATGAATGTGCATTCATTCAGCCCCCCATCCTTCACTGCTCCCAGCCCTCAACACAAATCCTCCTCTCTCTACTCTTCTTTCCTACCTCTTTTCCCTTGTCCTGCATGTAGCTTCTGCTGAGTGTTGGCTCCTGCCTGGATGCATTGAATCTCTTCATATGCGTGTGCTCTTTCTATAACTTCGTGAGCAGAATGCTTCCATCACAGGAGAAATGTTGTTCTGAGACAATGTTTCATAATTTAAACTTCACAGTGTGCTCACAACTTTTGATTCAGACACTATGCTGACATGTCTGACGTGTGCTGGAGTATGACACTAAACTTGTAAATGGCTGTGTGATCGGAATTCACATGAGAACGTGAGTTGTAGGATGAAACCATAAACTATTGAAAGCAACAGGAAGAAATTATGAAGAGATTCAGTTGTATTTAGTTTTGACACAGGCTTTTGGATCTTGACACGGATATGTCTGTAAGCATAATTCATTTTCTTAACTGTGAGATACTAGGAGTTCAAGTGTTTGTAAAATGAACATCCCAGTTATGCTGAAAAATACAAGTAGAAGGAAGAAATTATTTTAAATTAATTAATGATAAGAAAATGTCAGAATTCATTCACAATGTGCCAGGCCTTGGGAGAATGCATTCATTCATGTCAAGCAGGCATGAGAATAGTTGTCTTGCATAGAGCAGTTTCAGCCTAATTATTCCAAGCCTGACTGCATTATTTACTACAATGTTAAAAATGCATTGGGATCAAGTCAGTCCTTTACATCTCCTAAGCTCTTATTAGCTGGCAAATAAGGAAAGAGAATGGAAAGAAAAAAAAAAGAAAATGAAACAAACTTTGCTCCTGAATAACTACCAGTCATAACTACCTGACATGCCTTCAGATATTTTAATAAAGAATACTTGTCTTCTGTGTAATTATATTTCTAGAAAAAACATTGTGGTGTGAAATTAATGGTTATTCTCCAAAATGGGAAATGTTGCTTGTGTGGGCACTACTTCAAGGAAAGTGGGGAATATATAAATAAAATAAGATGTTTGATGGAAATGTAGGTTTCAAAATAGCTGCTATCCCTTCTGATCTTTTTTCAGTCTTGTATGTGGAAGTATTTGTTTGGAGCTAAACAAAGTTATATTTTTGGAAGTAAATAACTAGTTTTAGCTCATGCTTTGGCTTGTTGGTTAGGTTTTTAGAAAGTGCTATGATGATACTAAATGATCATCTTTTATAACAACTGGTTTATCCTCATTTCCCCTGAAGTTCAAAGAGAAAGCCAGCTCCCTGTTTAGCAATAGAAATTGTTCTCTGAGTTCACATCTTTGCAGCTAGCCCAACAGTTGTTCCCAGACTTGTCCAATTACCGGTGTGCTCATTGGAATTCTATATATCTTCCTTATGTTTGTCCTCCTTATGCTTATTGAGTTTAAGTTGGAAATAAAGATGAACCTCACAATTTTTATATATAAAGATATTCCATTACTGAATGCATGTTTCATGAAAGATAAAATTCAGGATAAGTTTTAGGGTGACATTTTTAAAGGTCTGGTGTTACTGTTGTGTCAAAAACACTTCAACAGCCTAATAAAAATATTTACATCATCCTTGCCACCTTCCCTCTCATCTGGCATTCAGCTATTCAGGCACATGTCAGACTGGGGCCTGATAATACAAGTAGAGTTAATCGGTTTCAATCCTGTTTTCTGGCACTTGTCCTTGTTTGTGTTATGCAATTGCAATTGCACCACTTTGGAAAACTGTATCCAAGCTTTGGGAATTAAGGACTAGGAATCTCATTTTGATTTTTTTTTGTGAGCTGGACTGGAGTTTGAACTTGGTGATGAAAGGTTGTGTGGACTATGTTCAGTGTCACCTGCCCCTGGAGTATGTTATATTTTAAGTCAGTTTTCATAATGTATTAATATATATTATGTTTATATAAAATGTATTAGTATATATTCTCATGTAGGGAAAGTGCAACAAACTGTGTGTGTTAATTAACTGTGAGTTCTGTGCTCCCCTCTTGTAGTGAATTTCAACATTCCTGTGCTCTTTCTGCAGATTTATGTAAATGTGGCATATTCTTGTTTCACTTGGAGATGTTGGGCTGAGGTCAGGAGTATCTGGCTGGCTGGCTGCTCTCAGTGTAGGAGTTCAAGCGAGGTGACACGAGTGACCTGCTGTGTCCTGAAATACCTACAAAGAACTGTTGTCCCCCCAAGCAGGAAGGCCAGCACTAGAACAGGGTACCTCTTCAGGAACAGAAATGACCGTGTCCCTAGTTCATACATGATTTAGGAAATAACTGTGAGCGCTGTAAGCATTGTTTCAGTAGCTGTGTGTTGCTCGGTCTCTGTTATCCTCCAGAATCATTCCAGTGCTCTCTCTGGAGCATAAAAGAAAAAAAAAATTAATGTATACAATTTCAGTTCACCTGAAAGGATGAAAAATACCTTAATTGGGAAATTAGTGTCACCTGATTTGGGTTGACTAACGTAGGAGCAAATTTTTTGCTTTCAAGTGTAAGATCTGTGAGATGCTGCCTTCACATCATGCAGCACATGGCCACGATGGAGTCCTTATTCATAACTATGGGTTATTATGTGCCTCAGCAATATGAAGTAATAATCCAGCCTGTAACTTGCTGGAGCTTTCTAAGGCTCTCTACACTCTGTAATTAATGTGTTGGTCATGATGAAGGATTTATTAACGCTGAATTGAGGTAAATGTGGATGTAAATATGCTGATGCCAATCCTTGAGTACCTCCGGGCTTTTTCCGCACACATCTACCCTAGGAACTTGTTTGAACACTAACTGAATTTTTCCCCGGATAATCAGCTTTCCCAGCATTCCTCTTTATCAGAGCAGCACACACCAGTGTTTCAGAAAGGAGAACTACCTAAAATTAAAAGCAATTTTCATTAGTGTGTTTTTATGTGAAATAGGAATATTTATTTATAAAGTGTGACTTCATTGGTGGTTGTGTGATTCAGTGCAGCCTTGGCAGAGTAATGAGGAGCTATATTTACACTGATGAAAATGTTGTATGGTCAGTGGTTAACATGTTAAAAGTCATCATTCTCCCAATTTAACTTACTATGTTATTTTTGAGTGGCAGCAGCCAAATAAAATTCCCTTCCCCCCCTATTTTTTTAAGCAAAACTAGATGTGGAGCATTTTGATTTAAACATAGAAAGATCATCTTATTACAACTCTGAATAGTTAAAAGTTAAATTAGTGCTTTAGCTATGGTCCATGGAAGCGGGCAAGACCTTGTACCCTCACCTGGCATATTCACACCTAAGCATAGGAATATACTGAACA